TTTTTTTTTTTTTTTTTTTTTTTTTTAGCTATTAAACTTCTCTCTCCCACCCTCATTCTCTGTGTTATGTGTGTTCATGTAGGCATGTTCATGTATGCGTGTAGGCCAGGGGACAATCTCAGGTGTCTCCTTTAACAGGTCTCCAGCTTTTTCTTTTCTTTTTTTTGAAACAGGTGTTCACTGATTGACTAGACTGGCTGGCCAATAAATAAGCTCTAGGGATCCTCTTTATTTCCAGTCGACTCTGCACAGTACTACAGTTACAGCTGCCTGCCATAGGGCTGCCTTCTGTGAGCGCTGGGTCCAAGCTTATGTCTCTATGCTTCTGCAGCATGCCCTTTACCCACTGAACCATCTTGCCTGCCCCCAATCCTCCATATGAAATTCTTAATGAAGTTAAATTGTTTCAAGAAAAAAAAATATTATTGCAGAAGTTTTCCCTCAACAGTTCTATTTTGTAGTATATTACTCTGTGTTTGAACTGAATTGACTTTTCACCTGGGCAGAGGGCTCTAAAGGGTCCTGCTTAGTCACTGTCCAGTGCTTAGGTTGTACCCAAAATTTATAGTTTTGGAGCTTAGTGTGGTGGCCCATGCTTGTAATTGAAGGTCTTTGGAGGCTGATTTCTAGGCCAGCCTGGCTTGGGTAACTGTATAAACCAAAACCAAAACCAAAACCAACCAACAAACCCATTTACTCTTCTATTAAGTGAAAGAGGAACCTAGAGAATTAAATGGTGTGTTAGCACCAGAGAAGCCAAGACAATGTGAAGTTTTTGCTATAATCTAAAATTGGTCAGAGTGCAGGTGAGAATCTTTGGATTTTATAACATTTCAAATAGAAAAATTAGCAGCCTGTGCTGAGATGGAGCTGACTGCTAATCCAGGATTTATTTGGGAGGCTACTGGTGATAGTGGTTGTCATGTAGGGGTCAATAGTGTTGACCATTTAAGGGGTTTTGATCATATTGTAAAAAATGGAAAATGTTAACTCTTACTTCTTAAAAACATTTTTAAAGAAAATGTGTATGTATGGGTGTTTTGTCTGCATGTCCATCTGTGTATCTACTGCATGCCTACTGCCCTTGGAAGCCAGAGGAGGGACCCTCTTGAGACCAGAGTTACAAATGTTTGTGAGTTACCATGGTAGGAATGAACATGGGTCTTCTGGAAAGGCAGCCAGTGCTCTAATTACTGAGTCATTTCTCCAGCCCACATTTTGTTTTTTAAATATGGCATTATTTTTTGTTTATACATTATTTTTTATTGGCAACGAATTTGGGGTCACATTTACCCCTTACTGTCCCTTTCAACTCAACCTGGATCTCCTGGCATTACCTTCCCAAGTTCAACTTCATATCCTTTTATTTTTTTGTAATCCACTGAGTCCAGTTAGTTCTGCCTATATGTATTTGATGTAGCCATCCATTTTGAGAATGAGCAGCCTAGCAGGGACCACAATCTTAAACTGACTTTCCTTCCCCTGGTGGCCAACAATCTTCAACAGCTCCTCCTGTTGGATGGGAAATTGTGTGCATGACCATCTGCCATCCATACTGGAACTCTGACTGGCTTGACTTGTGCAGGTCTTGTGCCTGCAACAACTTCTATGAGTTCATGAGCACAATGGTCCTACTGTGTCCAAAAGACAATGTTTCACCTCAGTCCTCTCAAACTTGCTGCTCTTAGAGCTGTTTTTAAAATGTATTTTAAATGTATTTTCATTTTCTTCTCCCCTACCATCTCTCTCCTGGGTATGTATATGGGCATGCACACACGTGTATTCCACATGTGTTTAGATGCCTTCAGGGGCAAGTGAACATAGGATCCCCTTGAACAGTAGTTACAGTCAAGGAGCTGTGACCTGGCCCACATAAGTACTGGAAATCAAGCTTGGGTTCTCTGAAAGAACAAGTACTCTAACCCACGGAGCCACCTCTCCAGCCCCTTGTACAGTCTTCCTGCTCCCTCTTCCATGACAGCCCCTGAGCCTTGGTGGGAGGCACCATACAGATGCCTTGAAAATACAACATTTTAGTTTTGAAATACCTATTGTTATCTCTGGGAGCCTGTATGCTCATAGGCAAAATATAAGTCTTCACTGTGATCACACTTTCTAACAAAAGCAATAAGTCACAGAATCATATGTTGGCTTTATGATGGACTTTCAAGTTTAGGATAAGGGAACCAGGCCTCAGGCTGCATAGTCTATGGTCTCCTCTTCCTTGTTCGTCCTCTACACAACACACTGGAGAAGCCACAGGATGTGCAAAGAACAAGGAGAAAATGACAACTGGGTGCTAGTAGCATGAATCTAAAGCAAGATCATTAGATCTGTTTAATAGTGACTAACTTTATTTTTAAAGGTCTGTTTATATGTCTGTTCATACGTGCACATGTATGCTGGTGCTCTAGTTCCAGGGGCCTGGAGCTACAGGCAGTTGTTAGCTGCCCAGGATGGTGTTGGGAAGCAAAATGGAATCCCCAGGAAGAGCATCAGTACTCTTAACCTCTGTACTATCTAGCGAGTCTTGACTTACTCATTTTTGGAGTACAGAATCAAGTCGGATAAGGTAGCACTTCAGAGGGGAGTGTGGGGGATTTCAAAGGTGTGTGAGGGCTAGGTGCAGGAAGGGGCATGAACACGAAGGGGCTTCCAGGCTGAAATACTGAGGAATTCTGCACAGCTAGTTTCTGGAGCCTCTCTCAACCTTCTACTACAATGTGGAGTGGCCCAAGCTTCTTAAGATATTGTTGCCACTGAGCAAATTGTCATTGCTCCTGACAGGTAGTGTGAAAGATGTGAACTATAGAGAAAGATTCCACAGCTATGCCAATAACTTAATAGTTTATTAGTCAGTCAACAATATTACAAATATTTAAAAATTACTTAATATAAATAGTTGGCAGCAAACTATTCCATTACAGAGTTAAATTACCAGTACAACAGACAGACTGGAGATTTAGACACCTGGAAGATAACAATAAAATAAACTAAATTATTTAACAAAAATTTTAAGCTGAAGGCGTTTTACCTAGTGTCCATAAAAGCATGGGTTCTCTTTTTTTATTTAGAAAAAAATAAAAAACGGCTTTAACACCCCATTAGGAATATAAAATAAAATCAACTGAAAATATTAATTTGCATATCAAAGAACCATTTATAGTTACAATCCAAACACTCCATAAACCACTTGTGCGATTCTATACAGAAACTGGGAATTAGAAACTAGTTGCTTTAATATTACAAAGATTTCAGCTCCAAAAATAATTCAACATAAAATAAACTTTAGCAATTAGTGTCATAAAATTATATATTTTCACATAAAAATACAAAATAATATTAATGACAAGAATATGAAAAATTATTCCAAGTATTTTACTACTATTAAAATAAAATAAAACCCAAAAAAACAAAATAGAAATATGCATGAAAAAAGTCTCTCCTTTTGTTAGCAAAACACTATCCAAAATAACTACAATCATTTACATCAGTACAAAGATTTCTGGGTTTAAAAAATAGTTGCAATGACAAAAGGGGCATCTTTTCTGACAGTAAAAAATGACACTGTGGATAAAGTCTGCAAAATATGCAATGAAAAAAATAAATTTGCATTAAAAAGGTTTACACTGTATCTTTATACAAACATTAGAAACAGTATTGCACATCACAACACAGAATCGAGGTTAGTCAGCCTTCCAAAATGTGTTATATTCAAGTTTTGCGGCATCTGTGAGGAGAGGCTCGTGCAGCCAGATGCAACAGGGATAAAATATCAAGTGTTTTCCATACACAAATATATAAATGCTAAATGTTTCCTTCTTAACAAAAAGTGTGGATTTTTTAAAGTACTTTTTCCTCCACAGTCATTCATACTTTTGGGCAGCAATATGAATATTTAGGGAACACAAATGAAGAAGCTTTGAAAATACAAAAATACAATCAAAATTAATAATTTTCTACAAAAATAGTAAAATAAATATGATCTGTAAATTAAAAAAAACTCTAATACAGTGTTTTAACAGTTAGAAAATAAGAATGTAGTACATAAAAGAAAAAAATAATCCCCAAACAAACAGAAAAAGAAACAAATCAGGGGTGAGGCAGGGAGGAACAAAATATTAGACCAATAAGCTTTGTCCTAACAAATGAAGGTGACACAAACCAGCATTTCTGTCACATTCACCCTGGTGGGAATGGGTGCTCTGTTGCATTTCCCTTCGTTTCAAATATTTCCATTTAAGAAGGGAAAATGATTTTCGGCATCTCCAATTATTTTATCATATAATTTATTTTAGAGTTCATTATTTAATACATGAAAAGGCTCTTCAATTTTAAACATTAAGCAGAAATTATGAAAATAAAGTTTAAAAATCTGCGAAATTAAATATCTAAATAATTAACATTGCAAAACTACTGATTTCTTTCCTAAATTCCAAAAATTGAGGTATAGCAAAGGAGATGTCATCAGTCAAAAAAAGTGTGCCATAAAATAGCTGACTGTTGGAAAAATCTCTCACAGAGATATAAAAATAGTGCATAACAAATGTCAAAATGGATCAAGGTCTGGCGGGGTAAGGGTAGAAAAGAATGCTCCAGAAACTCTGGAGGGTCATGGGAAGTAACAAGTAGGGACACTGACAAATAAATTAGTAAAGAGCTCCTCTGAAAACAGCATCAACTTCAAACATTAAAAACTTGAGCCACAACCACAATAAAACAGCAGAGTTAGACATGAACCACATATTTTTACAGTACAAAAAAGCACACCATCAACAACCAATGTTGAGATCAGCACTTTGCTCATGTGAAGGATTGTCCCAAGGGTTTGCTGCACAGGCCATACCCTTGCAATTTTCTCTCTTCAGAGTCAAAAATCTTAGTTCTGCATTAAAAAAAAAAAAAAAAAATACCATTGTGGGGTGCTTTGCTTAGACTGCAGAGTAACTCCTACATCATTAACACAGGGGCTAGCTGCGGTTAGGATGCTCTAAAGAGGAAAACCACCATGAACTATGTTCTAGGTCAGAACTGTGCATGTTTCCACGCAACTCCCTCAATAAAGAAAAAAGAAAAAAAAACTGCAAGCAAAGTCATTACTGAAATTCCTTCATCAAAGTTTTAAAAAAGCAATTCTTAACCATTAAGAATAACAATGCTCCATGCAACAGTGACCCCAGTTCAGACAGAAGACCCCATATACATAGGTCAAACACGTAAGCAGATTTAAGCCAGATTTCACCATTGTCTGAAAGGTAAATTTACGCAACTAGCCATCTGTTTTATTTTCCCATCTCCATTTTGACTTCACTAAAGTCCTGTGTTCTTCTATAAAACCCTCTTTTAAAGAATGGGCTTTTCATGGGTCTCACATTCGGTGACTGGTTAGCAGTGTGCTGGCCATCTTTGGTTTTTCAAGGATGTCTTAACCATGAACTATCAAAGGGGCTAAAATCAACTTTCTTTAAAATTCATGTGTTTTTCATTTATTCAATCTTTTATCTATACTATATCACTGCACATGAATTAGAACCGCACGTCACAAAATTGCACAGGGATTACAAATATTACATCCAGTCTGCATAAAATCGAATTCCACTACTGACCAGATCACAAAATGGCTGCACTCTCTAATCTAAAACTAATTTGCATATAGTACACATGTAGGACAACATTTTTAACTTGAAGTCACAATAATGCATGCAAGTTTGCTTTTTTGTAAAGAAACAAATTTTATAATTTGTTCATGCTACCTAGATTCAAGAGAGCTTTTTGAACATTTGCAATACCTCACCTCGTTAGTTAATGTCCTAGTGCATGCATATGGTGGACACAGGTAAGTAAACATGCATTGTTTCACATTCTAAACTATGGCAGTTTTGGCCATATTGTGCTGCCTGCATTTCATCCGCAATGCAGTTTGTCTCTAACGTTTTCAATCCCGTATTAATAGGTGACATTTACACATAACACCTATATAGCAGCAAAGCTAATACAGCTTGTGATTAAAAATGTTTAAAAATAGCTAATAAATCAGATTATCTTGAGGTATTATTTCTTGCAAGTCAAAATGGAGAGCAACAAAATCAACCCTAATTTTTAGTTTATGTACACACTGAAACAGCAACAATAAAAATAAGCATTTGTAGCAGACATATTCCATCCTCACTATTATTTGCTACCTTTGGTAAAGTACTGGGGCAGATCTTGACGTTAAAAACCCATGTTAAGAAATAAGTGCACGCTTCACCCACTATATAGCAGCAGACTCTGTTGCCCCTACGCAAAACATTCTCATATCTAATTTTAACTTTACATATAAAAATAACTTGGAGAAAATACAAAAAAACATTTTATTTTAACATGAAAATATCACAAAAATTAGTAAGCCTGAGATGTAGGGTTTTGGTGAAAAACAAGAGGCTTGTAGTGTTTTGGCTGCTGATAACGATGCATGTATCGAGAGCTGGGTGAAAAGCAGAAGAATGCACTTATTTCTTCTGCATGTCAGTATCTTCAGCACAGTAAGCCACATGCACCCTTTCTTTCCTTGTTAGACGAGGCCAGTTTGCTACACTTAGTTCCAGCGGAAGTGGATCTGACGTGGACGATCAGCACCTTCCTTCACCAATGGCTTATGGAACTCACGTCCTGCACGAGAGTGGATATTTGCCCAACAAAACTCACAGTAATACTGCAGGCAAGTGACATTGGCACAAAAAAAGGGGGCAAATTTTCCACCACAGCGTGCGCCCTGGCATTCATCACACATCTGGTCATCTAGCACATATGGCTTTACCTCCACCTAGAAACAGAGAAGGAAAAATTTCATTGGAGTCAGCTTCAGGAATAAAAATTTAGAATGGTTTTAAGTGTGTATAATGTTCTAAGAGAAAAGGAAGAGAAAGTAGGCAGTGTCTTAAGGAAACAGCTTCCCCCCACCCACTCAAAAAAAAAAAAAAAAAGGGTAAATGAAAACCGGTTTGCTGCTGTGCTAAATACATTGTGTGTCATGTTTCATGTTTATAACTGGCTGTGAAGCTTAAGTGGAAACACTAATTCACTTATTTCAACATGTTTCCTTCAGGAGTCACTAGTGCTATTTTACTCTATTTTCCAAAGAGAGAAAGAGAAAACAAAACAAAACCCACTTTCAAGACTTAAGACATTCTTTTCACTTGTGTAACATCTTTGAAACCCTGTATGCTAGCACTACTATTTTCAAATTGTGAGAAAAACTCGCAAGGGATTGTCAGCCCTTTATGAAAGACAAATTTCTTCTGAGATTTTTCTTCTTTCTAGTATCATCTGTAAGCTGATGAAACCCAACAGCCTAGGACTACAGCAGCCTTTCTGCAACAGGTCAGAGCTGCACCTTGCTTGTCATTAACTGCCGCAAACAGGCCAGAACTGTGCCTAATATGATTCAAGGCATGTCCAGACTTCTTTATAAACTCTTATGAAGTTAAGTCCCACCGTGAAGGATTGATTCAGCAAGTGATGTCAGATTTGAGGTGGCTCTAAACAGGCTCTCTTGACCTGTTTTCCACATCTGCAGAGTGACTCTGGCAGACTCTGTTGGAGCTGGGAGGGTTAAAATTACTCATGGAAGATATAATACCTGAGAATCTCGCTGTAAAGCAATGTCCGGTGCTTTCAAGCTGCAGCAGCCCAGCTTTCTTGAATTTCATGAATGAATCTAGGCTGTTGTCTCTGGCTGACTGGATGGTGTCATTATTTTAGAATAGTTGTGAACAATTCACAGACTTTAGTGTGAAGCAGGTATGCAAATTAGTAGCTTGTTCTCCTATTTTAGATGGCAATCAGCGCTCAAAGTTATCCAACAGGACAGCCTGCAGCCGTCATTTAGAAGGCTTCTTAAAGCTGCTACACTGGTGGCCAATCTATGCCAAGAATGAACTAATGTTTTCAATTTTAGGTTTCTGAATTTCGGTTTTCATAAATGAAAATTAACTCTTAATTATCACTTCCTGTGGACCAACTTTTCAAAGTTCCTGTGGACATGTGAAATTTACTCAGTCCTCAAAATAACAGAGACAAACTAGTACTCCTTCCATGTTACAAGTCAGGAAGTGGCACAGAGAGGGCTGTTCACCTGAGATTGTGGTGCCAACGGCAGAGAGTTGGCTCTGTCCTAAGCTTTCTTGAGCAGAAGCTTGTATAAACTGCCTCCACAGTTGGGCAAGTAGTTGGAACTTACTGGTTGATAAAAATTTTTGAAATCGCTTTAAATCACTTTAAATAGCTTTAAATTTGTGTAATGACTCAAGCTTACAGTATATCGAGAAATTTATATTTCAAGGATATAATGCTAGGAGACAGGGGAGTAAAGTCTGAGCCATATTATTAACTCCTTGTGGTGTTAATAATATGTAACTTACACGTTTATCAATATCACCATGCTGAAGCTGAACAAATCGAGCACTGATGGCAGCAATATAGCTCTGCTGATTGGAGAAAGCAACTCGCCCAGCACCTTTTGGGTATTTTAGTTCTGGATCTGTATCAATTCCCGCGTAACATACACCACCATACAGCCGGTCCATGATCATAGCAAGTTCCACTTCAAAAGGAAAGACATGCACATTGAAGGTGAGAAGACAGTAAATCAACAACTGCAAATCAAGAGAACACTAACACAAAGCAGCTGTTAAGCAAAGCTCTGTGGGAGCCAGAGCTTTGCACGTGCTGGCAGGCAGTCTACCATAGTTACATTCTGAGCCTTAAAAAACAAGTCAAAACAAAGCAACCCCAAACCACTTGCTTACAGTAAAGTTATCCTCATCACCACCATATGCATTCTTATCATCTGATGTAGATATTTCATATATATATATATATATATATATATACACACACACACACACACACACTTTTTTTATTCCAACTCTTTCACCATCTGCTTACTTCTTTCACCTGCATATCTGTCTCATTCACTTTCTTTATGGAAGGAAACTGCTTTGTCAAACCCCGCCCCCTGTAGCTCATACTTCTTTCTACATGCAGTCCTTTCTTCCTTAAGGACTGTCCTCCTCTACAAGAAATTTTTTTTTTAATTTTCATTTTTTTAATATTAGTTACAGTTTGTTAACTTTGTATCCCTGCTGTATCCCACTCCCTCTTTCCCTCCCAACCCCACCCTCCCACCCTCATGTCCTCCCTGCCCCTTTCCAAGTCCACTGATAAGGGAGAACCTCTTCCCCTTCCATCTGATACTGGTTTATCAGGTGTCTTCAGGATTGGCTGCAAAGTCCTCCTCTGTGGCTTACCAAGGCTGCTCCTCCTGGGGTGGGGGTGGGGGGAAAGGCCAAAGAGCCTGCCAATGAGTTCATATCAGAAACAGTCCCTATTCCCCTTATTAGGGTACCCACTTGGATACTGAGTTACCAAGGGCTACGTCTGAGCAGGGGTTCTAGGTTGCATCCATACATGGTCCTTGTTTGGAGAAACAGTCTCAGAAAAGACCCCTGTGCCCAGATATATTTGGTCCTTATGGAACTCCTGTCCTCTCCAAGTCGTATTAACTCCCCCCCCCCTTTTTTATTTCCTGCATTCTGCCAGAGGTTTGGTTATGAGTCTTAATATCTGTTTTGATACACTGCTAGAGTATTAATATCTGCTTTGATACACTGGTAGAGTCTTTCAGAGGGCCTCTGTGGTAGGCTCCTGTCCTGTTACTTGTTTGCTCCTAGTCCAATGTCCATCCCATTTGCCTTTCTAAGTGAGGATTGATCATTGTACCCTGGGTCCTCTTTCTCTCTACAAGAAATCTTATCTTCTCTGACAGAGCATGAAGGTTGGAAGGGACAGACAACATGGTGAAGGAGGCTAGGATTAGCTCAATCACCCTGGTGACCAATTTGACCAATCACCAATCACCCCGGTGGCAGATTTGTATTCAGATTGGCCTCCTATCTGTCTGTACAACCTAACTGATCAGATTATCATACGATGACTCCACTTTAATTGTTCTTGTTGAGATCTACTTCCTCCCCTTTATAACTCTGGTGCTCAAGCTTCTTGCTAGAAGCACTGATCACAGCTAATCTACTTGTCTGGAAATATTTTACCATTTTGCTGATAATTCACTTCACTGATGACATTTGAGTCTCACGTTTCAATGTCTTTGTACCTTTGTCTACACTCTGTCATGTATTTAAGGTACACACTACCTGTGTGCCTTAAACTCCTGAATTTGTATCTGAATTCCATACTCAACAAAGCAGCCATCTACCAGGCAACTTCTTGTAATACTGCAACACACAACATGCTAAAAAAGATCACATAAACATGACTTTCCTCTATTTCATGAAATATGATCCAATGAATTTTTCTTGATTCAATTGTGTAGGCAACAGAGAGGATCAAGTTACCAAGCCAAGATTTCTGCCTTCATCCTTCACTTTCATCTCCACTATACAGATAATCCCATGAACTTGCTTTTCAGAACATAATGAGAATCCAATCTGCTTACTTCCATCAGTGATCCTGTTTTAAGCTAGTATCATTTTTTTTTTTTAATTAGGTTTATGGAAACAGGTTTATCTGTTTGTCTTCAATTCCTCCTCTCCCGTTTGTTTCCAAAACACTAGAAATACTTATTTTTAAAAACACCATTCTAGCTACCACATGGTTTAATTGAAATTTCTACTTCAGACTTCTGAATGCGACCATGAACTTATATTCAGACCCAAGACCACAGTCTCTTTTAACCTACCCCTCCTGTGCTATTTCCACAGCTATGTACAAGGTATCAGCAACCACCCAGCAGCTTACGACTAAAGATGAGATTCAACCTTCTATTTTCTTTTTTTTAATTTTAATTTTATTTTATTTTAAAATTACACTTTATTTACTCTGTATCCCCCCTCTAGTTCCCTCCCTCCTCCCCTCCCAGTCCCTTCCTTCCTTCCTTCCTCCTTCCCATGCATGCTCCTCCCCATGTCCACTGGTAGGGGAGCAACCTTCTATTTTTTATCTAAGTATTCGGGTATCTGTACGCCTGGTTCTTCACTGACACTTAACCAACCCCGCAAAAGAGCCCTACTTGGCCTACTCATACATAGTCACAGCCTGTTTTCTCTTCTGAGTCATCAGCTTATCTGATCTTCCAAAAATCTATCTGATTATATCTCTTGCTTAAAAACTCCTCTTGTTCTGGGGATAAATGCAAATTATTCCATTAGAGTTGTATCTCTCCTATAACTCTGTATATCTCTAGGTCATTCTGTTTTATACAGTCCCTCCATGAATATCCTCTGCTTTTCACACAAGACTTCTGAATAAGCTGTTCGCTTTGTCTGAAACACACTTTTCACAATGGTCCAAACTCTCGTCCATCTTTTCACCAGCTCAAATATCTTTAAGATGTCACCTCATAGCATATTCTAAACATGAACACATATATAAATATATGTAAACATGCACATATGTATTTCTATTTCTAATCTTTATTCTTTGCAGCAGCCATTACATTCTTTAAGCATTTACATGTGTGAATAGTTAATTCATATCTCCCTGACTTGAAGAGTCTAATTGCAGAGACAAAAATCACTAGTACTTTTAGACGGTGTGATAATATATAGCATGCATATATAGTAAATTTTCACATGTATAATTATATCCTATTAGGCATCCTTCAGATTTTTGGTTCCTGGTCACTGAGAAACAGAACAGTATAACTCACTCATCTAAAATACTAACTTTAGTATATTAAAATACTAACATTTAGTAACTTAAATGCAGAACAATTCATACTTCCTTAGACACCAAAATCAGGTAAAAAAGAAAATCCAAATATTTCTGACTTAGAGATTCTACTTACCAGCCCTTAATGGCCTAGGAACTCCTCCAACAAAAATTGTTTTTCGAGGATCCAAAGGCTGAGAACCATCCATGACAAAATCACTATCACTTAAATTCCAAGGACGGATTTGAACCTATGGAGAAAATTACATATGGTCTTACTCCTTTTACTGTTTAGTTTTTTTTTTTTTTTTTAATGCAGTCTTAATTTTTAAACAGTAACTTAAAAATACTGTTTTCAAAACCTGCTTTTATAGGCCATGGTTCATGTGGTGTTTACTTACAGGTTTGTCCTTGATAGTAGGGCTGGAAACACATAAGTAGAGCTTTCCATCTTCTTCAATACAAGCATCAATGAGTGCCTGAACTGAGCTCTCTTCTTGAAAGAGAAGGAATGCATAGCCTAGAACCATGAAAAATGATGCTGCATGTCAATTAAGTGCTGTTAAAAGAGACATAAAGCCCATCAAATAGGTTTAACTCATTTTGCCTTCCAAAGAACAAAATATTCCATGGAACACATGCGTGTGCCAGAGAGCACGTGCGCAACGTGGGCAAGAGGGAGGGAGGGAGGGAGGGAGGGAGAGAGAAAATAGGAGCCAGTAAGTCTCAGGAATGCAGTACTTCCAGGCTGACTCATACAAGTCTATGAAACATTCCCATTTTACAGAAGGAAAAACTGAGGTGCCAGAGGTTAAGTAATTTGTTCAAAATTAATTTCACAGCTCAGGTCAGCTTCAAGGTGTTGTAATACTATCTACCCATGACACTGTGTTCTCTTCAGCCAGTCTCCTTTAGCGCTCATGTGGTAAATTCTAGAGCAGATTTATGGACTAGAGCATATCTGGAAAGGCCCAGGAAATCATCCTAGAGGGGAAAATCTGGATTCCTAGAAACTTTCAAACAACACCACGCAAGTAGCCTTATGGAAGCTGGAACAGAACATGTTGTTCTTTAAGAATGGGTTGAGATCCAGCTTTGGTCCATGGTGGTCATATAGGATACATGGGATTATTTCAATTTTTTTGTATCTGTTGAGACTTGTTTTGTGACCAACTATATGGTCTATTTTAGAGACGGTTCCATGAGGTGTTGAGAAGAAGGTAAATTCTTTTGTGTTTGGGTGAAAGGTTCTGTAGAGGTCTGTTAGGTCCATTTGATTCATGACCTCTGTTAGAGTCATTGTTTCTTTGTTTAATTTCTGGTTTGTTGACCTGTCCTTTGTTGACAGTGGGGTGTTGAAGTCTCCCACTATTAATGTGTGGGGATCTATGTGTGGTTTAAGTTTTATTAATGTTTCTTTTACATATGTGGGTGCTCTTGTATTGGGGCATAGATGTTCAGAATTGTAGTGTCTTCTTGGTGGAGTTTTCCTTTGATGAGTATGAAACAACCTTCCCCATATCTTTTGATTAATTTTGGTTGAAAGTCTATTTTATTAGATATTAGAATGGCTACTCCTGCTTGCTTCTTGCATCCATTTGCTTGGAAAACCATCTTCCAGCCCTTTACTTTCAGGTAATGTCTATATTTGTGACTTAGGTGTATTTCTTGTATGCAACAGATTGTTGGGTTTTGTTTACATATCTGTCTATGAAAGGAACCTGAAGACATATTTCAATTTCTACCTAGAAGTTTGTTCAAAACCTCCTTATCTACTTAAAGTACACAGTAGCCCTTATTTTTGATCCCAAACTCAATGAAGCTTTTCTCACCTAATTAGAAGTAAAAGTAATTTCTCTATCTTGTAGGATTAACTTTTTTATCCTTTTGAGTTTTTATCCTTTGAGTAATTGCTAATCTATGTTTTATATACATATAATATATATCATATATATGATTTATAAAACATATATTTACATATTTGAATAGTCTTAGAAACTATAGACATAAATTGATTAATAGAGATAATTTCTTCAACATCCTGCTGCAACTATGAGTGCTGTGAAAAAGAAAAACACAGTGTGGGAAGCTAGGATGGCCTATGAGGAAGAGAAGTTGACTTTATTATGTGGGTTCCCAACGTTTTCTGTGAGCAATTAACTTTTAATCTGAGATTTAAAATAAAAACAAAACAATAGGTTTTGGTGGCACACAACAGTAGGTTGTGGTGGTGCATGCCTTTAATCCCAGCACTTGAGAGAAAGATTTCTGAGAGTTCAAGGCCAGCCAGGTCTACAAAGAAAGTTCCAGGACAGCCAGGGCCTCACAAAGAAAACCTGCCTTGAATCCCATCCCTTCAGCCCCCACCTCCATTGACAAAAACAAAAAACACATTAGGCAATGTTCCAGGTCAGAGGCACAAAAACTCATGACAAGAGAACACTTCACAGAGGAGTACTAGGGCAGACCATGGAGCTTAGAAGAGGATGAGAACTAACAAAAAGCACCTAGAAAGATGTGAGACCACGTGGACAGATGCAGGTTTGCCTTTACCCCAGCAGTCAAAGGTTTAGGCACAGCACTGGTTGTCCTCTCCGCGGCTGCTATGGCCAGACCACAGGGAAAAATTGATAGCGCATAGCACATAGCTACAGAAGAGTGGCTGGAGCAATCAAGTTTGGGGATGGTTGAAAGTTTAAGTAGAATATCATCGATGAACAGGTGTTAATCCAGACTTATTAATCTTCTCAGCAATTATAATTAGCCTTTCTAGAACTGCTTTAATGATAGTGAACTAAAGGTTTGCAATGTATCCTTTCTTTATTTGCTTTAGATAGTTTGACATTTGTAATTCTGAATGAGGAATCAAACCAGCTCTTCTTTGCCCTCTTCTCTCCTAGTTGGCAGTGTAACCTTTCCCCAGGAACAGCTCTTTTGTCTTATGGGTCCCTTTCTAGTTTTCTGACTGTTATACACATTTCTACATAAATATACAGACATCAAAACTTAGAAACTAGGATTTACAAATGAGACATGTGACATTTCTCTTTCTTCTTCTGAGTGACCTCACTTAATTTCCTGAAGTTTTCATAACTTCATTTTTCTTTACAGTTGCATAAAAGTCTCTGTGCACTTGAATGACATTTTCACTACCTATTTATCAGTTGATGGAGAGCCAGGCTGATTCCATTCCCCACGTCCTCCTATAAATAGGGTCTCTGTGGTGTATAGAAAGGCCCCTGGGTACACACTGGAGAGTGGTACAACCAGATCGAATGATAACTCTACTTTTTGTATTTTGATCCGTGCACTCATTTTTTTGATGGCTGTACCAGTTTTGCTCTGTCATCAATGGCAAGTGAACAAAGTAAAGAGAGTCTCTTTCCCACAACCCTACAAGCACTTGTTGTCTTTTATTTTCATGGTGATAGGGTGAGACAGAATCTCAAAGTAGTTTTACTTTGCACTTCTCTGATGACTAAACTACTGCATGTTTTATAAATGACTTATTGGCAACTTAAAGTTTTATTTGAAGAAATCTACTCAGTTCCTAGGTCCATTTTTGGTTGGGTCATGTGCTTTCTTGTTGGTTGTTATTTTGAGTTCATTATGTATTCTAGATATTAATCCACGTCACATGTATAGTTGTGAAGATTTTTCTCCCATTTTGTAGGTTGTCTCTTTACTTGTTTCCTTCAAAGCACAGCTTTTAAATTTCATTAGGATGAGACCCTATTTCGTGGGCAACTGGAGTCCCATTGAGAAAGACTTTACCCATGATCCTAGCTTGAGGTATTTTGCTTCTTCCTCCTCTGGCAGTTTACTTTTTTATACAGAGGGACATTTAAAAATAGTACTTGACAGTGAGTAAAAAATACAAACCAGTTACTTCCCCAATGCTGTATCATACTATCACCTGAATACTTATGTATATCTTATAATATTGAAATTACTTACGTGGTTTTATTTTTCTAAAATACAAATGAATCATTTCATTGCCTCTTATCTCATGGCATGGAAATAAACCTTTCCTAAGTTTGAGTCACCACTACTTATAGAATAATGCTTTAGCATTATTTAGGAAATATTCAAACATAGATTGATTTAACTTTATTAAGTCATTAGAAAATTTTGAGGAAAGTATGTCAAATATTATGACTCCTAAATGGCTTCAAGTAAAACTGGAGTAGTTCTTAAAATCCCTTTGCCCCACTCAATTCAAGCTAACAGTTTTTACAAAGTATTAACTTTTTAAACAATATTTTATTTATTATTATTTATTTATTATTTGCATATGCGAGCATTAGAGAACAACCTGACCAGTCCTATCTTCCTATCTTTATGTGGGATCTAGGGTAGAACTCAGGCTTTTGTGACCAGAGCCTTTACTGGAAAAGCCATCTCCACAGTCCAAAAATCACTAGTATTTATATAAAGGTGGTTATGTTCAACTCAAAAGAAAGCTACAAATAAATAATTGATATCATTTCATTTTCTCTCATTCAGCCCAGAAAATATTAATAAAGAACCTCTTACCTTTCGGTGGAAAATAAGATTTGCTTTCTGCTTTATGGGGCCAATCTACTACCAAAGGTCCAAATCTTCGGAAGCTGGCAGTGATCTCATCTTAGGAGAGTACAGATTGTGCATCACAAATTAGTTCCAATGATTCATCTCAAGAAACACCGTATTTCTAAGAACTTGGAAGATTTAATGTCTAAAGTGTCAAATAGCTTAGGAATAATTATGATGTCAACAGGCAACATATCTAATACTCTTATTAAAACACTAACATTTTAACTATTTTATTCAAAATAACTTCATTTTTAAGCAGCAAACACTAGCTAATGTATTCAGTGTGAGTCCTAATATTTCACATGTCACATGAATATTAACAGCTTTATAGTATACCCAATTATAAGCACCACTGGGCTTAAGCATCTCATTATTATCAAGTTAACTAAAACAGCTATTGGTGTCTACAGGTAAAACCATGTTTTTGTTGGGATAAGGTGTACTAAAATAGGACAAGCTATAATGTTGTTACAACATACCAAGGCTGACATTAGTCAGACAGTTTCAAGTATTATATAGTCAATTTCAATGACATACTCTAATATATGTTAAACTAGTGGATATGCATTATATAAATATGCAGAATACATTTGCAGATGTGTAAACACAGCTGAAAATTTTCTCTAATACAACAATATCTTCTCTGCAGGCTATTAATGAATGGGTAGCTTTCCCATAACATTACAAAGATAGTTTAAGTTTTTAACCTTTACCTTAAGTTACTTTTCTTTATCGTTGCAGTTTTTACACATTTACTATCATTTGTATAATACTAAGTTCCTATTTTATGTTCCATTTCTACTTCCTTATTGGATTTTGTACTGTTCCTGTATTTTTTAAGTAAAAAAGTTAAGTTTTGATTTTACACACTGCAGACAGAGATTCATGGCTGGTTCCATTTATTGCACCATGTATGTATACACAGGCATGTCCATGTACACATGGACATGTGTGTGTTACAGTCTCACAAATATTAAGTCTTCAAATGTGTTCTGCATTAAATATTACGATATGAACTAGAACATGGAGATCTTAATAAAAATGATTACAGTGAAAATGTGCATATGATAAAAAAAAAAACAGTAGACCTTAAAAGTACTTATTCAATTACCTTCATATTTCAACGGCTCAAAATTACTTTTTACTATGGTATTTCTTTTTGTTTGTTTATTTTTTTGTTTGTTTTTGTTTGTTTTAAAGGCAGGACAAACTTACCTTCATCGATATCTGGAGGAAGCCCACCAACAAAAACTTTTCGAGAGAAACGTTCTATTCGTTCTCCGTTTTGATGAGCTGAATAACATGTTGGTGAATTTAAAACACCAACTTGATCACTGTGACCATCGTCCAACAAGCTATCATCTATTGGAAATAGGGAAGATCGACCTAAAATACAAGGACAAATATAAACTGAATCTCATATATTAAAAATGATAATGAAATCAAACATATAGATGTTGAATTTAAATGATTAGACACTAAGCTGACAGTGGAATAAAAGTGAATGGAAATGCACACAATATCATGCCAAGGTTCTAGAGACAAGTGATTTCAAGTATGACTCAGAAACAGTCACTGAGCTGAGGAAGTGTTTCAGGAACAGATGCCTAGTATAGATGAGACCCCAAGTCCAATTCCCACCAAGAAAAGGAAAAGAAATGAAGTTATTGTCATGTGACAATAACTACAGCACAAAGGAAACAATACATCTACTAGATCAATTAAAATCTTTATGCATAGAAGTAAGAACCTAATGTATAAGAAACACTTAGGTCTGAACATGCAACAAAATTCTTTAGAAACTGGTGGTAGAAAGGAAACAGCCTAAGTCCAATAGGTAAGAGGACATTGTGAAAGAAACAAAACAGAAAAAGTCCAAGAAAACACATAAAGTGCTACCAAAGCAGCAAGCTGTACTCGTCTGAGGTCTCGAAATAATTTACCATATGTGATAATCAGATGACTGTATAAATGCGACTTATGTACATGTGGATGGTACAGAACAATGTCTTAGGATTCTAGTTTCTATTTGAGCCCACTTCACAGGGTATGTGTCATTCAATATTATAAAGTAATGATATTAGATGTTCCATATGATCACACAAAATAAAATGACCCAACAAAATCTAGTATCCTTATCTTCAAGAAATGTACACAAGGTTAAGATCTATGCATGAAAGGATGACATATATATTTAAAAAGACTCAAAATGCTTCAACAAAAGCAGACTAGAGGAAAGCAATAGTGTAGAGAATACCATGCTAAGTTCTTCAATCTCCAAGGGTACTAGGTAATTCACGGCTGAAACATACAGTGACAGAATAAAAGAAAAGCCCTTTGAAGATAACAGAATTTATCCTTAGAAGAAGAAATTTTATTTAGAAGGTGGGAAACAATAACAAAATGAAACAAAACAGAACAAACAACAACCCAACTCTCTGGGTGCAGCAGGCTCAGAAAGTCTAACTTTCTATGACTGCGGAAGACAAATGAACAGCTGAGATTAGGGGAATCCCAAAACTATAAGGAAGACTGGAAAATGAGGATAAGAAATTAATGAGAAAGAACAATGGAAAGGAAGGGGCCAAAGAAAGTCACATATTTACTGAATAAAAGAAGTAAATGTCAGAGACAGGTACAAGGAAACAGCATGTGTTAAACCACACAGAGGCTTCAATCACTGATTGGGTACTCACAAACAAATGCATGGGTGAAGGTGCAAATAAGTGGAGAAAAAAAAAAGTGATCTTTTCAAGAAAACCAATTTCCAAGAAAATGATTTGCAGTATCAGTAATGGAAATTCCAGAGAGCAATGGATGGCATGGCACTTCCATCATAAAAAGGAGGATTTAAAAAGAAAGAAGCCAAAACAGCACCATGGCAGAAGCATCAAAGAAAAATCAGGAGGGAAAAAGGAAAAAAGAACAATTAAGCAAAGTGAGATGACAATTTCAAGCAATGAAAATTGTGTTTGAGGGTGTCTGGATATTTCATGCAAGCAGTTTCCAAGAAGCTGGGTGGGTGTCACATGCAGTGATATATAGTACATGTTTAATGCAGTTTTAGGACAAAGAGACAAGCATATACTTTATAGAACATGTATTGTAATCTAGAAATACTTAAATAAAATAGCATTAACATGCTACCATCTTAAAATATGCAACCCATGATTATGCGATATAAAGAAAAGCAGGAACATGGCATACTGTGGAAAACTGGTTGGCGAAAAAGAGGCGAACTATATACCTGTGACAAGGAGCAAGCCAGTGTAAAATGGAGTCCCCTGCCAAAAAAACTACACCATGTTAAAGAGTCTACAAAGCTGACTGAATGAATATGGAGAGTTAGTTGGAATAGCTTCCGTGAATCCCTAAGCCAACACTATCCATCAGACGGCATCTGAGACATGTAGCAGACATCTCTCACTTTGTTGTAACATGCCTACTGACACAGCAATAGTACTAGTCCATTAAGAAAAACTAGTTTCTTCTGGTTAAGAAGATGGAATCTGTAGCCTGGGTGGAGACCTAACTCTCCAACCTACCCAAAACATAAATGAGTTAATCTAGTTGTGCCAGCCTATAACCTGGCCAAAGTTCACTCCTCAGTAGGTGGGTTTATTTTAACGGTGGTGGAATAACCACCCCTTTAATGAAATAATATCCTTTTGTTTCCCAGAACCCCTCCCCTGTAGCACAATCCTTATAGAACGTCATCCAGTTTGGCTATGTCTTTGTACCAGATTCAGAAAGGTTTAACTATTTAATTTTCCTTCCTTCTCCAATGCTCTCCAGACCCTATGAATATCTTTTTTGGTACTTTAGGCTTCCTTCCTCTTTCTATAAATCTTCTGCTTCCATTAAGTGATTATCCACTGTGTATCTGACCTTGTGCTTCCTTAACTAAAGGTCCTGGTTATTGTTCTTCTCTCTTCTACTTCTGTTTCTCTGGGCAGCTGCTAAGATTATAGCTTGGCTATCCCGAGGGTTCTCTTTTAAACTAATGAAACTGTCCTCTTTGAATAAAATGTTTTTTCTTGCCTTTCAAATTTTTCTTGCCTTTAAAATCTTTAATCTGCAGAGAAAACTTATTCCTGCACTCCTACAAGGTACTATTGGACTTCTTATCACCACAAGTTTACTTGACTTTCTTTAGTTCTATGACTATAAAAGTCATTTAAAGTCTTCCACACTGCAACACATCAGTAGAGGCAATGTGAACCAGGGTTCCTGGGCTGTGGCCATTCATATTTGGTTCCCAAATAAACTGTCATCTTTCTCTTGAGGTGAGAACTGTGTTAAGTTGCTGATAGATAATGTACATTGGATATAACTGTAAAATTTATAGGCTATAACAGGAAGAAATATCTGAAAAGCAACAGGCAATAATCAATGGATAATTTCAACTGAAATTGAATTTCAATTGTTCTGAAAGAGACTCATGCTAAGTAACTATAAATTTAATTTTCTAAATTTCCCTTGTTGTCAGAAGTAGGGGCCAATGAGAAATGAAGTCTATAATTTTGTGATTAATAAAAAATCTTAAATATAAAGTTATAGGTCAAATATCTTGTGTCTGAAACACTTGGGCGAGGAATGGTTCTTGTTTTGCTATTTCTTAGAATCTGGATTTTCAGATTAGGGAGATCAACCTGCTTCTTTCCTCCCTCTCTCCCTTCCTCTCTTCATCTTTTATTCCCTTCCTTTTATCAAGGGATAAAACACTATCAATCCATTAAAATTAATATTTATTGTAAATTAATTTCTCAACATATCTTAATTGAATAATTATTCATTTAAAAAAAAAGTAAAACGAGTAGGGTAACAACTGCCTAGATTTAGGGAAATTAAAATGACTAATCCAAATGCTGGACTGGATTTAGACATGCTCAAATTTTGTGCACAATTTCATTTTGAAGTATTTTTATGCAAACTTTGCGGACCATAAAAACAATAAACAAAAGCCTAAAAGACTTTTATCTTGATAAAAAATAAAAACACAGATTGCAAATATTTAGAGTCTAAACAGAAATAAGAGGTGAGCCAATATGACTTATGATTTTTTATGAACTATAACATAGTATTTATACTTACATGACAAATTCACTGCAAAAATACTAAGTCAATCAGTAACTGAGTACTGTGCTTACTGTAAGCATTCATTGACCATGTGATCCATTAACCAAAGTTCAGCTGAACAAAGGATGCAACACAATGGCTAAAAACATTTCACATACTAGTCACAATCATCTGAGTCTTCATCTCTAGAAAACAGTGATTCCTTTCTTTCAAAGTCATAAAAACAATGAATTTTAATACTCATTTGAAAGAAGGAGTAACAAAACATATAGATCCTTGAATTAAAAAATAACTATATGAAAGGATTTTCCATGTTCATTGTTCTTAGTCATTAGGAAAATCAAGCTAGACATACAATGGTTCCTTCTGGTAATCATGAAGAAAAATAAATAATTCATTGAATCTACCATCAGTAAATTGGATACTTTTTGTAAGAAATTCAAGCCTCCTTGCAACAACTATAACTTAGCTTACTCATTTCAAACTGCTTTTACAAAGGGGATTAGAAATTACATGGGTTTTGTTGTTGTTGTTTTTTTTTTGTTGTTGTCGTTCCTATAACTCTGTACTATACAAAGCAATGGTGCACTGCATTCTGGGCTTGGCTGTCTGGCCGGCCCCATCTCATGTACCAGTGTGGACAATGTGTATGCAGCGCAATGAAAGCATGGCAGAGAGAGAAGCTGATGCTGATGCTTTGCTCACATACCCAGACACTGTTGCACTTGATTTCACAGATTCTGAACTTACTCTGGAACTTTAGAACAAACATTTCTCAACATATCAATGAAGGGGTTATGGGAGGGAAAAAAATCTTGCACAAATCAACCATTTAATTTATAGATTAATCCTAAGCAAGATTCTTTGACTTTTATGGGCTTTTCTATAATTTTATTTATAGAATATTGTTATAAATTTTTTTAAAATATGAAATCATATGTATTTAAAGTTACTGTGAATCTTAATATTCTTCCTATTTTCTAGGACAGAAGTAGTAAATAGATTCCATTATAATATAAGGATTTTTTTTTTTTTTTTTTGTAATTTATCAACACAGTAGAGGTAGGTTCAGGATTGACTTCCTTTGAGTTTGAACCAGTTTGAACAAGCAGTCACTTATCTGGTATGTTTCTCTAGAAAGGAAAGAACTACTACTTAATGTACAAAAATTATTTGTAATTATTTGAAAATATTTTGCCCCAATAATAGTTTGCCCCTTTCCTTATAGACGGTAAAGAGCCAAGAAAGTCAATTCTAACCTAGCAGGTTACATCTTTGAAAATTTAATTACAAGGTATATTTGCCTTAAAATTAAGTTTACTGAGATTTTTGTTTTCTTTAAAAATTGGTATGGCAGGGTATAGCTTGTAGAGCAGTCTCTTTGGGGCACTAAATTAAGTTTTACAAGCAGTACATTCTGTGCCATAGTTACTACTCACCTCTGTTATCATGGAGCACCAAGGTAACCAAAGTAGGAAACAAACAAACGAAAACAGTAGATAATGCCAGTGCTGCTACCAAGCCTAAGCCCTGCTAAGACACAGGAGGCTGCACCCAGAGGCCCTGGCTGGCTATCCCTATATGCAGCCACTGTAGTGTTCCTTTTTTTTCCTTTCTCATGCTTCAGAGATATTTCTCACTTTCTTTGATGGCTTATAATTATTTATCAGTGACGTGGAAGATAGGGCCTGAACACTTACATTTCAAAAGATTACTGGAGAGAAAATTCTGGAAATAAGTAAGCAATATATTCTATATTAAACCATTTGTAACTGATTGTATATAGTGGCATATAAATCTACATGGCTACACACTGTGAGCATATCAAAGCTCAGCAACTGAGCTTTCAAAACTGGATCCCTCTAAAATTATTTTTCTTATCTTTTCATCCATATGCAATATACCAACTTTTGGGTTAATTGCTGAAAAACTGTTTTCTTAGTACATTAATTAAAATAATTCCTTTACTTATACTATTCAAATTATCCTATATATATTCTTTGAAAATGGCTGCTTATTCCTCTATTCGAGGAATAGATTGTGAGTTAGGAATAGAAAATTCTGAGTGACAGAGCTTTAATAATCCTACACAGTTCTTAGCACAATCTTGACACTATTCTTACCCAGAGAAGTATGTTCACTCTCAGAACAAGATGGAAGAAACACTGAACCAAACAAACTACAAAAGAAAGACAAGTTTTCCTGATGTTAAGGAGCCTCCGCGTAACCTCCTCTTCCCTAATACTGAAGAAATTCTCATGGCCCCAGGCCCCTGACATTCAGAGAAAGGAATCTTGGTTTTGCACAATTACTTCTAGTATGATTATACTTTGATCATCCCTAGAGTATAGTTCATAAATCATTATGTAGAGCCAGCTTGAGTTAAAGTTCTTATTTATATTATTAAGAAACTGGAAATATGTCAAAGGCATTCTGCTAGTAACTTGATTTAACTAAAGCCAAGTAGGAAGTCTTTAAAACAAAAAGTGCTGGTCTTTGCTGCACAGAAAGGTCAGTTAAAGGTGGGAAGGAAGAAAACAGTTCTTTATAAAACCAGCTGGCCACCGGAAAGTCAGACGGCCTTGTGACATTCGATGCTGTCCCACCCCGAAGGCATTGGTGCCAACTAGGACTTGGGTTTTGGCCACTTGTACTAACTCATTTTGGCACATCCTTAATGAACAGACCTTTATCCTAAGAAAAAGAAGAACCAAAATGGACACATACCATTTCACTAGCCTATCAAATCTACAGCACAAGTTCATAATAAAGGATTTCCGGTGGCTAGAGGGTTTGCTAATATAGCAGCATGAGGGGAAAGTAAAGGGAAAATAGAAGGACAGCCAGGCTAACACCACTACTCCTTTTTCTGAACTGCTCTTCCGGTATGCAGGTTTTTATTATAAAATATTTCTACTACTTACTAAGCCAACATATTTCCAAATTCAAATAAATCTCTCAGCAGCTAGTTTCAATAAGTAAAACTTTCATCTGACCATCGAAACTGGAAGTGCAGCAGCAGATTTAAGCAAGCTCTAAAGCTCTATAGGACAGCTACAGCTCCTTTACAGCCGCAGTGTACAATCTGAGAAAAAAGACTGGAGCTTCCTCTTCTACTACACCAGCTGTGTGGAGATTTGGCTGCTTAGGTGGCTCTGAAGCCAAGCTCCTCTCTTTATAGCTCCCAAGAGGAGACACAGCTAGGAAGGCAACAAGTCCCTATGTGAGCAGTAAGGAATTAAATGTTTTCCTTTTTTTGTATTATTGTCTGCAGCTACTGAGCTGAGCTATAATAAGAAAACCACTGATTCTGTTACCTTGCTCTTAAAAATTAAGCACATTTTATTTATATAAGATTATGCCCACTGACTTAACACAAATTACTAGACAGAAAAGATAAAAAGGTTTGACATGAAAAGAATTCTGAACTATTTAAAAGTACCAAGCCAAACCAACCAACCAAACAAACAATCACAGATTGGTAAATAATTTTTCAAGAGGATCAAACGTACAAACTTCACTGTGAAGTGAACTAGAGCACAGATCTGAAAGTGGGTTTGAACATGCAACCTTCCCACTTTCTTCACAGCTCACTAATAGCAGCCTTTAGAAAGTTACTTGGAGCCGGGTGTGGTGGCACACATCTTTAATTCCAGCACAGAGGGAGGCATACGTAGGTAGATCACTATGTGAGTCTGAGGCCAGCCTGGTCTACAAAGAGAGTCCAGGACAGCCAAGGCTACACAGAGAAACCCTGTCTAGAAAAACAAACAGACAGACAGACAGACAGAAGGAAAGAAAGAAAGAAAGAAAGAAAGAAAGAAAGAAAGAAAGAAAGAA